TCTTTTCTTATCATAAGATCGTGTATAATAAAGCTTCTAGTCGTTATTCGTTTAGTAGCTGTTAACAAAAATCGACCGTGAGAAATGATTCTGCAAGAGAGTGACACCACATAAAATTTAATGCAGGCCATTGATTATTAAAGCCGGTCAAGGTTTTATCGCTCATTCGAACTTGCCTTCTCACAATACTTTAGAGAAAAAAAAAATCGCTATTTTAGCTTCGACCTAGACCAAAATAAAAGCGATCCCACGGGTTTGTTAACTTGCATTATACAATGTAACATAGTGTTATAAGCCGAAATGCAGCTAGTCGACTAAGTCGACTTAGCCAACCCCTGATTGACTAAGCTGACCAAGTCGACTTAGTCGACGAACTAAAAATTATTGGTCAAAGTTCAACTATTGTCTTTTTTTAAGAGTTTCATTGGATAAGTTGATTATTGTTTACGCAGGATCTGCATCGAAAAAAAAAATACGCATGAGATCATTATCAGCAAAGCAGGATTTGCCCCTTAATGACTTAGTCGACTAAGCCGACGACTTAGCCGATGATTCAGTTAGTTGACTATTAGTCGATCGACTAGTTTAAACATTTTTTGTTATCGTATCGGCCATTATGCATAACTTATTTGTGGGACGGGGCACAAGTAGAAATTGCCATTTTTCATTTTTTGACTGGGGCGCCCCGGCTGAAATTAGTATCTAACCAAAGTCAGTTAATTAATTCATGCCATATATATTTTTGAACCTTATCTGGCCTAAATGCATACAATGTATATATGTGCTACGGAGTATCAAGTCCCTTAAAGTCTTATTTTTTAATGATTTAACCTTACATGGCTCTATATCTCATGATGCATACATTTACATAATTTATAGAAATCTTTTCGAAATTTTTCTGCATGGAAATACATGTCTCAATCGTAGAATTTTTTTGTAAAGGTGCATGTTTTTGCTTCTGCCTAACCTTTCTAACATTTTGAGTTTCGGGAAAAGGGTGAAAGAAAAGTATATAAAAAGGCAGTATCTTGAATTTATTGTTATTTATCACTTAATAGTGATTTATTTGAAGAAGTCTATATATTTTATGTTGTTTTATATAACCCTATTATTTTATATGCGAATTATTAAAAAATTAGTTCAGTTATATTTCAAATGAACAAAATTTAAATTTCATAATAGATATGTATATATAGGTCAAAAAACATTAAAAATAACTAAAATCCATTGTTTTCTATAATCGGTAATTAGATCATAAAAATGAGTTTATCGCTATATCCTGGCACTAATTGTACCCCTGAAGAATGGTATGAATATTGTAAAATGCCTCAAGTCCGTGAAAATGAAACTCCTGGTGAGTGGAAAGAGCGAATTTGGGACCGTTTACAGTATTTTAGAGAACATAGTCTTTTACCTACTCAAAGCAAAAAATATCTTGAAGCTAGCGAATTGATATCATTTCCCAATAATACTCCATATGCTCGTGAAATCAGATTAGCAATTTGTTTCTCTTGTAACCAGTTAATATATTGCAGACAACGAACTCAAAATATAGGTAATTATAATTATATAGGAATGGAAAGACATTGGAAATTCTCATATATCGGTAATAAATACTGTGGTGTAAATCACGATGAATACTTAAAAATCAAGCAAAAACCTAAATATAATTTCGATGATAAGTATGCATTACATCGATATGAATTGTGAATGCACAATGCTATCAGAAAAATTGAACGTGCTAGAGATGTTGGTAGAAAAATTCAAGCATATATTATTATACAACAAAAGGTTGTTGAGTGGATTTATCGTCCTGATGGATTAACTGCTCA